AAGAAAGGACTTGGAATCTCTGGAACACGAAGACTTTTGTCACCCTTCGAACGATCGGAGGCAACAGCGTCCAGAATTCCATTAGACCGCAACAACTTACTTACAGCTCCTGTATTTATAGATCCTAGGCCTGATGCAGTACTCGAACATTTACATACTCGTGGCGTTGATGCTGAAGAAGATATATTCAATCAATACAGCTTTTAAGTGGAATACGTGGAGATGACAGTCGACGTCACTTGTAGAGGCTAGAGATAGAATATGCGAATTTAAATTAAATATTTTATGGTAATCTATTTATGTCTACTATTACCAACACGTGTGCCGCGTTTTTGGTACTGTCTAGTGGGGTTAGCATTTTTGTCTAGTGGCTCTAGTAGTTCCCAAGAAGGACTCGTTCTTCAGTAGAGTATACCAGCATTGACTCAATCGTAAGAGCCCCGACACGGAAAAACGCACCGTCTCCGCGATCACGGGAGGTGGAAGAAGCTTGTCACCTTTTGCTCGTGCAAGAAACCGAGAAGACCAGTAGCATCTGCCTGCTGGACGATGGTAATCACTTTCACAGGTCATTATCTTCTTTGGTACCAGCAAAAAAAATGGTTAGGTCACGTGACCAAACATCGTTTGATCACGAGAAGGGCAACACACAATAGTATAATGTTCACAACAACCAAATGCAAATTTGTTTGTATTCAGTATGACTAGGCTTCTAAGCAGCATTTGATTATTTTGCATCGTCTTCAATCTCGTAGTCAAGGAAGTGTCGTACACAATGCCCAAGTCTTCGTCAGAAAGCTCTGAGTTGGCATCACTACTACCACCGCAAGGTGCACCACCATCGTTTTCGTCTCTGGAGGAGCCATCAGTTTTGCCAGTGTCAGGGAAAGTTGCCCGTCTCGGAAAGCGCATTGGTGGCCTCAAAGGGGCTTCAGCATCGCCGGATATTATGCTTTTACGGAGTACGACATACTCCCTGGCCAACCCCTCAATAGATCAAACGAAATACTTCAGTGATGGATGAGGCTTCATCCTGGCATTCAACTCGCGGTGAAATCGCTCTAAAGGGTTATTCGTCCGATTCGCGATATCTTTTTTTGACTCGATATATATTCCACAGATCGGGAGGGTATGTTTCCAACCAAGTTTTAGAAAAGTATCTCCAAAACATCCTCCACTTTCTTTGAGAATACCCCAGCCCTTTTACATTGCAACGCTTGTTTATCTCGCGTTTCCCCCAAGTGACACCCTGGAAAGCTATTTTATCCGGATCGATTACTGTGAGCATGTCGAAACTCCGAACGGCATCGCAATGGAAGCCTCGTCGTTTGGCATGCCATACTCTTTTAGTTTCCTTCTACACGCTTGCTTGAAGTGAAACAAGCAACCAACAATGCGTGTAGAAGGAAACAGACCCCGTATAGCAAGAATCATGGCACCTTCGACGTCACACACGACATCTCCAGGCTTAATGTCCTTTCCCAACGCAAACTCGATGCAGGTGAACATTTTAGTGTACAGTGTTTCTGTTTTGTTCGTGCCAACGTGAAAAATACAGGCACAAACAGCTCTATGTATTGGTCGTACATTAGTGTCACAAACTGATGGAAGCTCTTTGGGGTGCAACGAAACGTGCCATCGACAACACATGGGCACCGTCAATACGAAGCAAATTGCGAAGCTCAGGGTGCGACCAGCCAACCAGCCTCTCAATCCCTGACTTTTTCTGCTTTGCTCTAGTGTCATCATGCCACACGTACTGGAACTGAAAAAAAAACCAAGATCACTGCCAGATACTTTGGCTCTCTCTGGACTCTCCAGATATTGTTTCCCGATTTTGAGTTTCCCACACGTGAAACCACTTGCTTACGAGAGTGACCGCGAACAACACACGTCGAGTTTTCGTAAAACTTCTTGTATGCCAACGTCCAAATTTTGTTTGCTGAAATATCTTGCTCAGCTAAATAGTCGACAAATACTTTCATTTCTTCTTCCACATCGACGCAGACCGAATCATCACTTGCCAAATAAGCTACGGGTCTGCTTTTGCATGTATGTGGAACTGAGTTCTTAAAGTCGTAGGTCATAGTATCAGCGTAGAAGTACAAGACGGCAGGGCACAGCTTTGGCATTCTATAGAAGCTGCATCTGTAAGTTATTTTTACTGTCGAAATGTTTGCACGAGTGTACTCAAAACCCTGGTGGTAAATTTTAGTTTTACCATCGCGGCTTGCTGTTGAGAAAATGTCTGCGGCGATCCAACCCGTGGAGGACGTGGAGGACGACCAGGAGAAGCCGGTGTCAATGCTTGATCCTCGACAGCTTGGTCAGGCTGCGAACACAGAGATAATGGGCAGGATGCGCATGAACCTAGCGCAGATGGCAAGCGCAGCGTTAGGGGTTGGATCTGTGTCGGCGTTGCTGGTTGTGTTGTTGGAGGGAAAGGCTCGTCTAATGTCAACAACGACGCTTCATTCTCTTCTTGTGTGTGGTGAGGGTTTGTTGAACGCGTTCGCGGACGAGATGTAGGCGAGTATCGAGCCCTTCGCCCTTTGGATGACGGGAGTGAGCGGCTCATCAGCAACCGAAGGAATTTCTGACAATGATCGCCCGACCTCTACCCGCTGAAGTGTCTTCATGCGGCTTCGGTGGTTACGTTGGGCATCCACAACTATCAAATAGTAGGCTTGTGAATTGGCTGCTTCACGATGAATCCCTACTTTGGCTTCGCACTTGTAGAAGCAGCATTGATCCTTAAGCTTTTCTTGCGTGACCAACGATTATTAGGACACGTGCTAATACGTGATCAGCTGGAGACCAAAGTCAATGATTATGGCATGACCAAAGTCGTCAGTAACCTAGTATATAACCTGCCCTGGACGATCACTATACGCTCGAACAAACATCTTCTCATCCGGAACCTCCTACCGAAATCACCTGTCAAAAACAACAAAAAGAATATTTAATTAAATATATGAAAAGCTAGTCTGTAGGATACTGAGAACGAATGGTTGTCGTAGGTCGGATTTTCTACGAAGTAGTCTCGCATCAAGCGCTCCCGCCACTCCACCCTTTCACGCTCCTTGTTGGCACGCCTTTCATGACTGGACCTTCCGTGGCATCGTGACGGCTCTCCCCTCGTCGGGAACAAGAAGGACTGCGCGTACAGCTTGTCATCGGAGTCATCCTCCAGCACAGCACTCGTTTTCTCCGCCGTGCGTTTTGGCCTTCTGATTGGTGGCTACAATAGGATAGGACTGGCGTTAGAACTACCGCTGGAGCGAAAGAAGCTGCCAGAGTCGTATCTTAAAGGTCGGGGGTCTCAAAGGCCCCCGTTAAGAAGACCTACCGCTGGAGATGCTCTAACCATTCAAGTTAAAATAAAGATATGTATTCGTGCCATGGCAAATGCGATAGTGTTTAAGCCAGCAACTTAAATACTACAGCATTTTCACTGACCCGAACAGGTCACATGAAAAGTGCTACCAGTCTCTAGCTCGTCATCCCTCTTTTTGAGTTGGTTTAGATCAGCGCACCACCACTGCATTACGTACTTAACCGAAAACAGCTAGATTGGTGTCGCATGGAAAAAAAGTAAATTGTTACTGATTTATGGAGATTCATCCTGTTCAAATACTTAATGATTATGGGACGTCCCGTGCGGCGGTTCCTCCAGAGAACTTCCTAAGCTTACATTATCCCACATTGTGCATGTAATTTCACCAGTTTTTGATCAGCCAATATCAAGTGATATATTGAAAGGTATGGATGCGTGCCCAATCTTAGGCTTTGCCAATTATGATTAGTGTCGCGGACAAATAGCGGACAAGTTACTTTCCTTTCCACTTCAGCCTTGCCTGAAGTCAGGTCACTTCTCAATTCGCTCTCTAGCTCACGTGTTGACCCAATCATGCAGTTTTATTTTGCAATTGTAACGATGTCTTCATCTGCACCAATGCTGTATCGGCTACCCCAGGATCTGAGAAGGACAAGTTTGCTTCTGTACTCGGAGCAGAGACTACGAAAGCGACTCACTCGCTTATTATTGACCGCAAAGAAGGTATCATCAAGCGGTTTTTGAGATCAGACAAGAATATGGAGAGCAATGACGCGGAAGACGAGGAAAGAGGGCTGAACCTGAGATTTAGAATCTGGAAATTGATGGGGAAGAGGCCAGGAGACATTTACCAGAAGTTCTTCCACAAGATGAGTGCAGATAAAATTCGTAAGAGCTCGAAGCACAACGTCTGGAAGGAATATGCAAATTGGTTTGACAAGTCGAAGAAGTCCGCAACAATTACCGCTTAATCGGAGTGCTCGATATTGCCTCGCTATTCGACAATGCGTGATGAACTATGAAGAGGGATAAGACAGATATGAACAGACTATGTCGTTCTAATGACCCTGATTTAGTTTTCTTTTTCACGATTTTCTAATAAAGACAATCTTTGAAATGGGGATTGAGAGCCCGTGGTCAACGAGAACATTCCTAATAAATGTACCTCATTCGGATATGTATATTTCGTATGGGGTACCGGTATCGCTATGAGCTATTTGGTGGATGTTAAATATTGAAGCTGCCAAATTTAGCTATTCTTAATAACCATTTTAATTCCGCTCAGTTCAAATTTTTCCACTTGAGGAATGCGTGTACTCCAATGAAGTGTGAACAACGCCGGTTACTTCCCTGACCCTGTCAGCAGATGCTGATTGATTCTCGTAGATAGTGTATTCTTCCCGTACAGATACTATCAAGCTAGATAGACTTGATCATGGCTTGTGACTTGCACCGCTCGTACTAATTAGTCGTGTGTGATAGTCGTGCATCGTGAATACATTTAAAAATAATCATCCCACAAGTTTTGATTAAAAAAGAATCATAAATCGCTAAACGATAGCAGATTCTGATAGATCTCGACGAGGTATGCCTTTGATTTTTAGTAAGGATCAGCACGTCTTCTTAAAACAGTATTTAAAAACAAACGCGAGAGCCTGTAAGTCGTACACGGTAAATAGTCGTGGCACGACTACTAGGGTGAACGATGTGCCAACAACGGTTTTGACCTCGATATCAAGTCGGCATATCAACAATCTCACACTTAAGCATTGGAGACAGAGATCTGAAAAAATGTTTTGGCCGGCATTTTTAAGTTTCATCTGTAAATAGCAGTATGGATTGCGGTAGAAGTGTTTGAGCCTTAGTACAATTAGGATTTGGATTGCAGACTAAGTATTCTAGTATCCCATTTCACGCAATTTCAAATTTTAAATGAAAGCATACACCATCCATTTATTGGTGCCTTGGGCGCGACAGCTCACTCTCCGCCTCGAAAACCAGCTCCATCGGATACTGCGCTCGGCATCTGCGCGACTTTTGTATCTCGTATTGATATTCAGTTACATGCTTTAGCCTATGCTGTATTTCCTTTTCGTACGAGTGCTGGTAGCCCCAGCTAATTACTTACCAATCGTTTGCTGGAGCTCGAATATCCTACAGACATATTGGTACTGTTCAGATTGTCCAGTTGTTTGGTCGTTATTTATCTAACAACGTATTTGGCTCCGAATAACCACGCTAGCTCTCCGCCTCTACTACTGACGATACTGCCATTTAGCAAAGGACCACAGTGTGTTTTGCGCTTCGTTCTGAAATACAGTATTGCAATATCTCCAACGGCCACAATGTGGATTACAGTTTTCTCTACGCCTGCAATACCTTACTGAAGGGCTCAGAAAAGTATTGGTATCTGGCCAATATAATTTTTCAGACGTCTGATTGGAGATTTTTCTAGCAATACATCTGCTACTTCCATAATATATTGAGCCTTCCAAAAGTGTTTACCTAGAAATTCGATTTAAATGAGGTACGTTTTAGTTCTGCACAAAAGTGTGCCTTCATTATTTTGCGGACTGCCATACCTCAAGCTGCACCATTTCAACCTATCGGATCACACTCCTGGTCAAGCTTTTTTGTGTTGCATGCATTCCAAATAATAACTCTTTATAATAAATGTGTAGTTATACTGTAAATGAATTTCAGTTGACATGTGCTAGTTTTTGTGAACAGGACGGATGTGCACCGTAATGTGCTTCAGAGCATGCACACATTAAAATAAAGAAAAGGTGAATCTATTATGAAGGGCCCGACATTCACTGATTTACAGGAGATAATCTGGTAGAATCTTTGATGATGATGCCCGTACCACTGAGTCGTCAATATCACAGTACATCTGGATCAGACAGTGGTTCATCACTACCCGAATTATATTAGAGTTCGCAGGAGGCACTAGCGATCACTTCAACTGCACCCACCTCGTCGTATATTACACTCGGTCAAGATGCGAACTCGATGAAGTCGAATGCCGACCCCTAGCTCTTCAAGGTCACGGTCTGTTGCCTGAGCAAGCAACGCGCCGTCAATACCCTGGGCTCGGAAGTCGACACCATAGCTGCCGTCGTCTAACCCCAATGAGTCCAGGAAACTTTGCACCTCGTAAACTCCCCATTGCTCCATACTTAAAGTATCCTCGCAATGAGCTTCGAGTTGCTGGTTCTGTAGCTCTTCAGATGCTTTATGGAGTCGTCGACTGGGAGTTGATAATCTCACACTGCGCTTGTGCTCATTCACTCCGGCATTAGACAGTGCCGCATTCACACGAAGCACGAGATCATTGCGAACCTGTTCGTCCTCCAAGAGAGCTTTCTCGAAAAGAAAAGAGTAGATTTTCTCTTTTTGATAGCGGTGCATCAACTCTGAAGCAATTGGAAAGTGCGATGGCGATTTAACAGAACCTTTACGGTCCCCATCCGGTCCGATGCGATCTTTCATTGCGTGATAAGCTGCTTTTTTTCGTTTGAGGTCGTTCCTGCGCTGATACACATCTCCTGAACGGAATTTAAAATCATTGACGAGACTTCCGATCCGAATCTGAAGTTGTCGACGTTTGTCAGGGAGAACTGCGCCGTCGAGACGTACTTGGAGAGCGGCAAGATCATCTCGCATGGCACCTAGTTCGTGTTCTGCTTGCGCAATTAGCTCACGGCTGAGCACAATATCCTCGCGCATTGCAGCTTCTCGAGACTTAGTTGAGGCAGGAGCGGTACCGAGCGAAGCTCCATCGCCATTTTGGCTGACAAATCGAACTTTCGCTTGTGTGGATGACGTTCTTTGCTGCGGTTCAGTCGGGACTACACCAGCAGCGGGGTCGTTGTCCGTACTCAATGGATCAGAGCTTTCAGATGCTTGCTCCATCCGAATATGTCGACGGCGAGCTTCAGCTTCCCGTTCACGAAGTAGCAGCTTTGACGCAGAAAATACGCGCCGTATACTGACATCGCCGACCCAGTTCCCAAACACCTCGACTGCCGATTCTTGATCTTCTTCGCGCAGTATCGGGTGGTCGAGGTGCATGTGAGCAAGGAACGGATTCTGCGTCAGACGTAGCACCTGCAGCGACTCGAGGAGAGGCACACCTCTGAAGGAGACCAGGAAGTCCAAGTCAGCCGTCATCTTGAGCAAGTAGTTAACGCCCCGCCATTTAAAGTTTGTAGCCTGCGCTTTAGCTTTCTGTTTTTGCTGCCACTGGTCGGTGTCCTCAACAATCTGCACACTCACTGAACGCAGTTGGTCGATTACACTCTGGAAAACAATTGGAGCTTTGGATATCCCGGAGATTCGAGGCTGTTGAGGCTTTTGCGCCTCCGCCAGCAGCTGCTGTAGCGCCTCAAGGCAGCCCTCGCGCTCAACGATCTTCCTCACAATATCCAGATCGTAAGGCTTTTCAAACGAGGAGCATGGTGGGAAAACGAGGACAGTGGAAGCTGAATTACAACATCCACGTGGTTCAGAAGTTAACGAGGACATCCGATGCAATCTCGAATAAAGTTGAACTGTTTGAGTGATCCTGCCATTGACGTGCAATACTGAAATAGGTGCACCCATAAAGACAACAATAGTTTGTTTGGTGCTGATAGGATACCAAAACAAACACAGTTGCTTTATTCTTGAATGAACTGACATTCAGGTTGCAAGGTCAAACAGCAGCTTGTTGTGTGTTCTACCTGTCATACACCGCTATGGCAGTCAGGCTTTCAGGTCAGTTCTTGGTCGTGTCTGGGTCGATACTGTCCAAAGTGTACTCGCCAAGTTCACCTTCCACACTATCCTGATTGTTTGCCTTGCCAGCAATACGAGCAGCCTCCTTGGTGTTCTGCTTCTGGATGTTTCCGAAAATGGAGAGTGCCGACGCCACCATACTGGAAGGATCGTTGGTGTTGGCCGGCAACAGCACCGTTGTGCCCTCCTTGGCGATGTTGCCAAAGGCGTCCACGTACTTCTCCGCCACTTGAAGTGCCACTGCGTCACGTCCACCTGTCTCCTGGATAGCGCTCGAGAGTCGCTGAATAGCCTCAGCCGAGGCATTGGCCTTGGCAAGAATGGCAGCGGCCGCACCTTCTGCCTCCAGCACGGCGGCGCGCTTCTTACCTTCAGCCACATTAATGTACGCTTGACGTTCACCCTCGGAGTCCAGGATCTCAGCACGTTTCCGACGCTCTGCCTCAGCCTGCATGTCCATAGCCGCCTTGACACTGCGAGGCGGGGCGATGTCCCGGATCTCGTATCGCAGACACTTGATACCCCAGGCCTCGGAAGCCTGGTTGATGGCCTCCACAATGCTTAGGTTGAGCGACTCTCGCTCCTCGAAGGTCTTGTCCAGTGTGATTTTACCGAGTTCGGAACGCATGGTGGTTTGTGCCAGCTGAGTCACAGCATAGAGCGGGTCCTCGACGCCGTAGCTGGCGTTATATGGGTCGATGATCTTGACATACAGCACACCGTCGATACTGATGGTCACGTTGTCGCGTGTGATGGCCGTCTGGCCGGGGATCTTGATGGCCTCCTCCTTGAGCGAATGCACGTACGCAATTCGGTCCACAAATGGGATCAAAAAGTGCAGTCCAGGCGTCAACACGTCCTGAAATTTACCAAAGCGCTCCACGACCCACGCGCGCTGCTGCGGCACGATCAGCACGCCCTGTAGCATTGACAAATATTAATATATTAGCACTAATCAATTACATAAAGGTTATAGCGTAGCTGGGCGTACGATGTTGACAGGCGTATCTTGCAGGCGTGGCATTCCATTGTCGTCGAAGGACTGGGCCAAAATGGGGCGCGAGTTGTGGAACAGACGCGTCGTCGTCGGCTGCAGGAACGGGCTACCGGTTCGTGCCACGGTCGTCATCGCCAGCTGCGGGCGGGTGTGGCGGGCGGCGCCCAGGAGCTTCGCGGCGAGCATCGCGGTCAGGGAGCTTAGCTTCTTCCAGTGGCGATCACAAAATGACCTGCATTCCGGCGCAGCACCCTACAAAATGTATCTTAGGGACCAAATTTGCGCATCAAATCACAAAAGGTCGCGACCAATTCCATGCTTGATTTCATTGGTTGAAACCCCGTCAAAATGAAGACAGCAGGTCCATTTGCCAACTTGCGCGCGGAAGCCGAGTCCTGAGCTCCATGAGTCGACGCGGCGGCGCTTCGGAGGATACAGCGGGCGAACAGAGCCCCCGAGAGCGCAGCGACAGCGTCAGCAGCGGAGCGGGTAGCTCTGGGGTCGCCCCTAGCACGTCTCCGCAGTTCGTGGCTCTCCATTCGAGGGTCGGCAAGAGATACCAAGCTGTGATCCCTGAGCTGCTTGCGTCCCCGGCCGACACCGCCGAGCTGCTGTACAAGAAGCACGCGCTACAGCAGCCCAAGCTCAGATACTGTCCTGACAAGGCCGAAGGTGCGTGACGCAGAGGCGAATTTTTTAGTGTTATTTTGACCAAATTTTCTATTTGTATTGTCTTTTTTAGAGCTGGGGCTGGAGTTGGACAAATATATCAAGCTGGCGCGGTCTTTAAGGGATGGGGCCACATTCGACACGCAGGAACAGGTCATGACACTGGCGCTGCAGCATCTGCACCGCTTTGACTATAATACTACTGACGCAGCATGCTCGCTGTATGCGAGACATAGTATTGAACTGCCGAAGTCGACTACGGGTGTGAATCAGAGCGTGAGCAAGCCGACGCCGGCAGAGGAAGCTAAGAAGTGGCTCTTAGCCTTCTATCGCTGCATGAGATGCACCGAAATTGATGGAAAAATGCTGGAACAGATGTGCGAGTTGCATGAAAAGGCTAAGGCCAGTGGCGATGTGATTCCAGCGACCGAAGCGGGTGTGCTGTCGCGACTTGTGACGCGGATATTGACGTGGAGAGAGCAATGTGAATCTGTTAGCAAGGAGAAGGTGGACCGTGCTCGGCTACTGCAATTGCTGCATCAGGCGGAGTATATGCAGATAGTCTTACCGGAAAAGGAAGCTGTCGTATCCAGGCTACAAGCGTTCGACACTGCCCTCACGCAACTGAAGGAGGCGCTGGAACACAGCAGTAAACGCCACCAGAGCAAACGGGTGGAACTAAATGAGCTAATTGGTCTCTTTGAGGCAGTAATGGCTCCGCAACTCATCTTCCCAGAGGAGAGCAACTTCCGTGAAACAGTTGACGAAGTAAAGGAGCTCAAGGCAACGATTGATAAAATGCTAGCGGAAGACAAGGTAAGTCTGCCCTTAATACGCGATGTGTTGGCAAAGATCGAGCTGGTGCCAGTGAATTTCGAGCAGGAAGTGGAGCAATTTCAGACCAAAATGCAAAGCGCGCAGACGTGGCTAGCAAAGGCGCGTAAATGTATGCCTAATCGCCGACCAACACGGCGAGCAGGCGGTGCAGACCCAAAGAAAATGGATCTGGAGACGATTCGCGCGCTTGTGGACGACGCGCCGTGTGAAAATAGTTCCGAGATGTTTGAAATGCAGGATTTACTGGAGTGTGCAGACGTGTGGGCTGTTAAAGTGAAAGAGGCGATAGATGGTGGGGCTGATGTGACTCTCGAGCAGTTGAAAGAACTCCTGGAGGAGGCAAAAGACATTCCTGTGGTCATGGATGAGCAGAAATTCCTGGAGGCTGAAATTGATGCACGTGAATGGTGCACAACCGCCGCGTCGAAGCTGGCGTCCCGTACGTCTATCGAGGAAATGGAGGATTTGCTTACACAGGCAAAGACTATTCGGGAACGCATTTACCCGAAGAAACAGTCACGTTGGAAGCCACAGGTGGAGCGCGATATCAATGCAGCCATGGACCAGTCTCGCAAGTGGATCAATGAGCTTCGTGACAATCTTGGCGTTGCAGCGTTTGATAAGCTGTTTGCCTCGCTGTCGTCTTATTTTCCTTCTTCACACTCGTCCAGATCATCGTCCTCTACGGCAAGTATCGATAGATCAAAAAAGAAGACAATGGATGCGATTAGCAAGTTGGTCGAGAAGTCACAGGCACTTGCGATTGATGTGTCTTCCTACACTACACCGCTGAACGATCTGCTTCTGAAGGGGGTTGAAGCGCAAGCTGAAGCGAGCGCTATTTTAATGAGTATTGGTTGTTTGTCGGGAACGATTGCGAACAATCTAGATGAATCGAGCATGGAAATTGACTCGATGCCGCGAGAACTGGGCGATTTGGCGCAGGCGTCGGCTTTACTCGAGAAGATTGATTCATTCCCGTTTACGTTTGAAGAGGGGCTAAGTCTCGCCAGTATCGTTGAAGGTGAGAAGGAGTGGGCAGCGCGTGTTCGTGAATGTATCCCCCCGCGACAATCGAGGAAGAAGCGTCTAGCGAATGACTCGTTCACGACGGAACAGCTTCACGAGTTGTTGAATGAGTCGAAGAGACTGCGCTTTCTGTTTCGCAATGAGCTGCGCATTCTTTCGAAAGAGCTTCATGATCTGACAGCATGGCGCGCGAAGGCGCAAGAAGTGATCAATGGTGAAGTGAGCGTGTCTGTGGCAAGTGTAGTGGAGCGCCTTCAATCGTTCGATTTGATGATTTACGAGAAACTACAGAAGGCCAAAAAGAAACTTCACATTGGCGATGTGAGTCCGGCCGCTGCAGATAATGAGAGTACCGAAAGTCGGGACGTGGATATGTCATCAACGCCGTTAAATGATGAATCCAAAGAGGTAAAAAAAGAAGAAGAGAGCGAATTCTCTGCAATGGAAGTTGATGCTGCGGGATCGAGCGATTATGTAGCACCAATGGAAGTCAGTGAACAAAATTCCAAGCCAGATTCCAAACCGGAGGTTGTATCTCCTGGGAATAAGCTCACTAGCGCCGAGACTGGAGTGCAGGCAGAAGCAGCAGCAGACACGAAGCCTACCAACGCGAATGGTGTTGCGGCTGTGAGCATGCCAGCGTTAGAGATTCATGCTGATGCAATCATGACACATGTTCGAATTGAGAGTGGGTGTATGCAGAAATCAATTGCAAAGAAGGAGGAGGACGATCCCGACGACTCAAAGACGTCTTGGATGGCGAAGAACGGACGGGATCTTCTAGAACCGGTCCTAGCTATGGCGGAGGAGAGTTTTGAAACTGTGAACAGCTTGGACTTGAAAGAAGCTGAAGCCCGACAGACCGTCGAAGAGCTTGTTCTAGCAGGAGAAAAGGGCGACATTACGGAGAATATTACTGACGAGTCTGTACGCGTCTTGGATGGATGGAAGCAGCAGCTTTTGCAAGTGCAAAAGGAGAGTGACGTACTCAGTGTGGAAGCCCCAGAGCAGAAGGTCATTGCTCTTATCATATCGTTGCTGGAGTGGCTGCAAGGATCTCGATCTCTTTTCTACGATGAGATTCTTCCTCTCCAAGATCTTGTTGCTAAGGGTGACAACATAACGGAGAGCCTTGAGGAGATTAAGACCCTTGATGTGGTAAAACCTGCAACTCTGGCGACATTAGAGCGGATGCTGTGGCCACTTTCGTACTTGAAAACCCACGAGAAGGTGGTTTTAGAGTGGACAGAGCGTGTGCACAAGTGCATAGCCGACAAGCACGCTCGTGTAAACGAACTCCAGGCGTTGCTTGACAATGGAAGTGGACTACTGTTGGAGCAAGGCGCCTTCAAGATTGTGATGGATGAAGCTAAGAAAGCACGAGTGTGGCTCTCCAAACTAAAGAAGCGCTTGAGAGCTCTGATAACGAAGGGGGTTGGGAGAATGAGCATGAGTGCTGCCCGTTCGTTGGTGGAGGAAGGCGAGGACATCGCAATTGACATGCCTGTGTTTGACTTCCTGAAGGAGCACCTGGAGATTGCAAGCGATTGGGAGAGTCGCGTGCTGGCGTCCGGAATCGAATCAGGACAGGCACGAGTTGCGAATTTACTGGCACTGCTTAATGAGTACGAGTGCGCCCGACTGGTGATTGACCTCGACATGCATCGCGATGTGCTGAAGTCCGCCACGGAGCGCTATTGTATTTGTCGTCAGCCTTTTGACGGGTTAATGATCGGCTGTGATCATTGCGATGATTGGTTCCACGACAGTTGCATTGGTATGTCAAAGGAAAAGGCTGAGAAGGTAGAGCACTACACGTGTCCGTCCTGTACCATTTTACAGGAGCTTGGATCAATGCTGCAACATGCGAAGGCAACGGAAAAGCAAAGCAACATGTGGGATATGCAGGAGTATGCGAGGGCTTTCGAGAAGCATCAGGCCAGTGCATTGCGCAAGGTTAAACGTGAGGAAAAAACGGTCGAGCGCACTGATATGCTGCTGTTTAGCTGCAACAATCAGATGAACCAGCTTCGCGCTCGAATTGACGACATCGAACGTGCAAAGGCTTGTTTATCTATTAAATCGGTAGCAGGGAGTGGCGCCCTTGGACAGCAGCAAGCACTGAATCAGGCGCAAGTAAAGCCTTCAACTGTTCAGCCTTCCGCGACGATGTCAATGCCAGAAGCAGCTCCTGTAAAAGCAGAAACGTCTACCATTACCAACGTCGCGGCCCCCACCAGTAGCGTTGATACCAATGCTCTCCTCCTCGCTGCTGCTGCAAGTGCTTCAAGTAGCAGTGTCAGTACAGCTACATCAAGCGCAGCAGCAGCTTCGACGCTGGCAGGTATAAATGCGACAGCGTTGAATCGTCCACAGTATCCAAGCATCCTGATTCCTCCCATGCGTGCAGTTAACAATATTTTAAAGAGCGCACCGAAGGTAGAGCTCGTTACCAAGCCAGTAACGACGACCAGTGAAGGTGGTGCAGCAAGTGCTAATGGAGTGAAGAGTTCAAGCGACCTGCCCAACAGCTCCTCGACGTCTACTACTTCAACAGTACCGTCGACTGTCTCGGCAAGTACTAGCTCAACCCCACAGCCAACGGCAGCTGTCTCGACTACTTCGACCACAACTGCGGCCTCGGTTATGACTACGACTGCTACAAGCAAGCCTACTTCGAGCACGGCTGCTACCACACCTGCTTCAACGTCTGGAGTACATCAGGTCCCGACGCCGCAGTTATTAAATCCGATGGCTGCCACGTTGATGGGGAGCACAGAACGATTAGCAGCGCTAGTGGTTGCAGGTGGGGTGGAACAGCAACTCGCAAAGATGAAGAGTGAGCACGTCGACGCAAGCAAGCAGGTGCTAGAGCTTCAAAGTTCGTTGCGTCTTAGTCGCGAGCGTCTGGCGAACGCGCAGCAATCTCTTCGTGAACTGTCCGACGTATTCCACGCTCGGCATCGTATGCTACCGTATGCTCAAGCCTGGGTGAGGCAAGCCGTGACGTTGCTGAACACTACAGCAAACTTATCACGTGCGAACATCGACTTCTCGACGTTCCTCCCGCGAGGATTTGCAACAGCGCTCTCTGAAATGGAACATCCGCCAGCACCAGCCTCGAGTACAACAGCTGAATCAGAATCTGTGGGCATTGACAAGCTGTTCCCTGGCGTGGATATGTATGCCCGCTTGCTGCGTACCGTATCGTGGAGCCAAGTGGTGGTGTCTTTATTGCAAGAGCGGCCGTCACGCTGCGAACTTAGTGATGCTATTGCGTACGCCTTGGAGTACGGTCTGTGGGAGGACAAAAAGACTGTGGCACCGCTTCGCAGCTTGATTGGTCGCGTGGACGCGTGGGTCTCTCGCGCACATAAATGCATGACGAAAAGCGCGAGTAAAACGCAGCAGTTGTCGCGATTGAAGGTGTTGATGAACGAGTACTCGAAGCTCCCGTTGACGTACGCGAAAACTGCAGAACCTTTAGATGTCTATGTGAAGCTGTTAACGGGTGGTGGAGTTAAGAGTAAGATTAAGGACGAAGGTGAAGCGCTCACTACGGAAGCTGCAGAAGCGGCCGCTGTTAAGGCTTTGGATGAAGCGATGGTAGGGCTTTCTCCTTCCGTGACGTCTGCTGCGATTGCCTCAGGTACCAGTGCGACGAAAAAGCAGGCACCACGTAAGAGGAAGGCGTACACACGAAAAGATAAAGCCCCCGTTCGATCGACTAAGAAAGCGAAGAAGCCACAAGGTGCGTCTGCTGTTGCAAGTTCGGCTCCGTCGTCGACCAATTCCGCTACAAAAGTAACAGCACAGCCGACGACTAGAGCGGCTCAGGCTGGCAGTAGCGCTTCAACATGACCCCATGGTATCCAGCATCGAACGAGGTGAGGTGGGCGTCATGTACACAGGCAGACAATTTATAGAAAGTAGACCGCCGTGCGCAGCGGGAAGGACAGAATCTGGCGCGAGACGTTGGCAGAATCGCAACAAATGCAACCGTATTGTGAACAATGTTTCGACTGGAGCGACTATGCGTTCGAGTGTATCGAGAGGTGAGGGCTCCGCATTCTTGAATGAGGTGACTAACGTTTTCATCTGCGTTGCATGGACCGTTACGCTCACTAGCTAAACTTGTATAAATCGTCGGCTGGAATGTTGGGTTAGTGCGTAGATATTGTACGTCTTCGACGATGTCATCAGTGCAGGAAGAGCACTCGGATCAAGCAGCCCACACCGACGAACAGCAGCTAGAAGAGATTGATGAGGCTGCTTTAGGTGACAAGGATGATCAAGTGGAAACCAAGCAGGAGAGCGAGTTGTGGATTCAGCAAGAAGGAAAGGAAGAGACACGGGAGGAAACAAGTGAGAATAATATCGAAGCGTGTTCTGTGGAGCAAGAGGAAGCAGCCGTTGAAGTGAACGGAGAGATCTCACCCTGGGGTGACAACGAGACCAATCAAGTGGACGAGGTAGACACAGAAGACGACGATGCAGATGCATGGGAATGGCAGCTTCGAGTAGTGCAACGTGTGAGCGAGAGTATGCTTGATCTCACCCTGTTCACGTCTGGCGGATTTGACTTTGTTGTAATGCTCAACGTGCAGCAAAATGCGTTGAGAGACTTGAGACCCATCGAGGGAATGGCGAGGACTTTGCGGGTGCTAAACGCGTCACAAAACGACATTGCCACGTTACCTAGCATCGATTTCTGGTCACAGTTCCGATGCCTGAGCATGTGCTTTCTCTCTCAAAACGCTTTAAGGACGTGGGCAGATGTACAAGGGCTTGAAGGTTGTTCGAGATCCCTACTTTGGCTAAATTTGACGAACAATCCCCTCATGGCGTTGAAGAATGCGCGCAGTTTTATCGTGAACAAGCTCCCCTTCCTCAAGGCTCTCGACAACTTTGTGACTACAGACCAAGAGGTTGTTCAGCACGCTCGTCCAAGCGCTCGCTTCAATGCACTGTCTCCACGACTAAGTATCGCGCACCTCCTTATGCCTCTCGAATTTGAGACGGATGACGCCGCTCTACTTTACGTGGGAGAAACAGAGACCGCAGTAGCGACTATACACGCTGACAACAGCCCAAGCGTTCGCGCGCAGAAACTTATCAGGGGATACCTGTCGCGACGTGCCAACTTCCCGCGCTTCCGTAATGTTCGTGAGCTCATCATTCACGTCCAGAAACACATTCGGGGGTTTCTTCTGCGTCAACTGATCAAGCGCCAGATCTGCGAGCTCGTGGTCGCAAACGGAGAATCGAAGCTGCTGATGGCCTCCGTCGCCGCCGGTCATGGACTTTTGTCGCCTCTTGCGCGACGATCGTTTGAGAAAATGTTACCGATGATTCGTCGATGGCGAACGCATTTCCAAGCCAAGAAACGAGCTGTGGCCATCAAGAAGATCCGCTTCTGGTGTCAAATGGTGCACCAACGTCATGCACGCCGCACCCGACAACTCTTACGTGACCAGCAAGAAATCTGGATATACTACACGCCAGAATTCGAGCAGGAGCTGCTCACTCTGGCTACGCGTGTGGCTCGTCGTGATCCTTATCTCATGAAGTTATCTCGTGAAGATCGCCTCGAACTGCTTCGAGAGCGTTGTGCCCAGTCTGGGATGAGTGTTCTCCGTGGACCAAACCCGAACTCGAACGTTGTGCGTCTAGCTTCGATCGCAAACACCAGGTCACCCACTCCAGAACGGCCACATCGACTACAACGGGAGGAGGATGAGGGCTATAAGCTGCTTCGCATGGGTCGAGATGCCCAATCTACACTTGATGCATCTTCTCAACACCCAATGCGGCGTTCGACTGCTCCAGGCTGGCCTGCACTCATCCGTGGCTTTCCTAGTGACAACGCTGTAGAAAACCAGTTGCTCGTCGCTGAAAAACGTTTTTTGCAGCAAGATCTCGAGCATATCGCCGCTATCCAGAGTCAGCATCGACAAGATCTTGCCAACAGCGAAGTTAGCGGCGCTAAACTTCCATCGAGGATGGAAATGGTGGCCAAGCGTCAATCTCGAGCAGTGCTGCTGCATTTAAACCAAGTGACGCGTGAAATTCGACAGCGGTTGGTGATTTGCAACCGGAAAATTCTCAACGCTTGTGTGAAACAGAGGCAGCGCCGCCAGCAGCACAATAGTGAGACGCATTTCTCTCTTACCAAGGCAAAACTTCGTGCACGAGGACACGCACCCACCCGGTGGGAGCGGAAACGGCTAGTGACTTCATCACCCGAATACTTGAACGGCTATCGAAAGATGAAGGTGTTCATTCCGTGGACGATTGACATGTACCTGCACATCGTGTCGAGTCTTGATCGCGCGGTTTCCATGTGTTCTGTGGGCCCAGCGAAGGCTTTTGCAATGCCGTACGAGCAAGCAAAGCGTGCGGACGCAGCGTTGTTGATCCAGTCAGCATGGCGAGCGTCGATGTGCCATTCACGTCGGAATGCTCTCGAGGTTACGATTGCACGTGCACTGTTATGTATTCAGCGGTGGTGGAGATTTCGTATTGGACTGCGTCGTCGACTGGATGTGCTGCGTGCGTGTCTTCTGGTTGGAGCAAGTATTAATTCTCGCACTCTGTACATGGAAGCCAGCGTGTATCGCACACTTGTGGAGTTCTGGCCTGCAGTGCGGACCGTTGTGGCGCGGCATCGATGCCATGAGCATCGTCTTCACTGTCGAATTGTCTCGGGGACACGGGTAGAGCTTACTTTGACGCCAGGACAGCTACTGCTGTACACCGCCAGTCGTGAAGAGCGCTCGATTCTGCTTCCTCAGCCCCAGTATCATCAAGTCTCTTCCGTTCCATCAGCTCATTTAAGCTCATCAAAGATTGAACTCTGGTCGAGCCAACGTTGCAGCGCTTATCTGCCTGTGTGGATGCCTGGTACACCAGATCCCGAGCAGGAGAGCATGAGTTCGCGGTCTGAAGATGCTGCGGCATTACTACTGGTCGATGGAGTGCAGATCGAGCCAACACTCATGGAGCGTGAGCTGATGCTCGGCGTCACACAGCCACCAATTGCTGAAATGTTCGCACAGATGAATCCGTTCCGCGAGTTCCCAACATGCCAGCGCGTTGTCGCCTCAGCCACTCGAGTTATGGACATCGCTCGACGACTTTCAGCGAACAGAACGGCAAGAAATTGGCAGCTGGACCCGTCACAACTAGGGATCGACACGTCGTTTGTGCGTCTCACGTTTGAATCCATTGACGAAGCAAGGAAACGCGCTCTACTGCTGCTATGCAAGACATTCGACCCGATCACGAAGACGTACGCACGGATGTACACGTTGGAGGCGCTGTATGGAGCTGCATTTCGCCATCACCAGGTACGCCTTATTATCATATAAATCGAGTCTGAAGTATTAAACTTGACATGCATTGTTGCATTTCTAGTGGGCCATAAGCCAGGGTGCTACTAGAGAAGAAGTCGAGACTGTGCTGAGTGACTCCCTCATGTGGATGCAAGATGAGTTTCCTTCTCGATGGTGGATTCATACGCAGCGAAAGCTCGAGGCGCTCCACACCACGGTCAAAATTCATGGTGCCTCTCCTCCCGTCTCGAAGACAGTGAAGCCATCGCCTGACTTCCACGTGCAGCAGATACCGCCGAGAGAGCCTGAGACTCGGGAACCTGTGCGACCGTCGGAACGCGAGCCTCGTGGACCTCCTCGCGTGTTCCCACGACCTCGTCAACCAGACAGTGACGCTCTCGTGCCATTACACGTGGTAGATTCTACACTTCCTGAAGATGCTGAGAGACATCCAAGCGACTGGATCAAACTTCTCGTCCCCACTCAACCTCAAACTCCAACACCTTCGGCTTCGCCGTCGATCCCTCTGGGAAGCAGTCGCCACCAAATGCTAGTGAATCGTCTTGGGAAACCCAGCTATATCACCGTAGAGGATAAACAGGACCAAGAACAGCTTGCTCGCGAGCATTATGTCCGCGACCTACGTGAAGAAGGTGAAAGGGCTACCGAGGCACTCATAGTGGATCGCCGAATGCTCCAGCGCGAGAAAGCTACCGAAGTGGCCTACATTAAGTTGGACGTCGACGTCAACCTACAACGAATGCGCTTTGAGCGCGAACTCGAGCAAATACACGCTCGAGAGGCTCTAGAGCACCAACGATACGCCACACGACGTCACAAACAGACGCGAAAGTTCGAAACCTGCTTCGTGGCGCAGTCCGGAGCACTCATGAGACGCGCTGCTCGAGCGGCTGTTGCAAGCAGCCTGAAAGCAGAAGAACAAGAGCAGCAACGTCTTGCCGCCGCTGTGAAAATCCGCGATGCCGAAGCGCTCGTGCGTCGTCGAGATTCAAAGAGCTTCTGGTTCGTGCGGAATCGCCACGAGAAGCGAGAGATGGAGGCGTTACGACTGCTTCGATCGGCTGAAGCTGACAAGGTAGAGCGTACACGACTGGCTGGACGACGACAGCGGATGAAAGAAGACAAAGAGATCAAGAAATTGCTACACATTATGTAAGCAGCGAGTTTTTGACAGGATCAGGTGGCGAATACAGTAGAGATCTTTACGAGAATACCTGCGCGTACCTGGATCATCAGTTTCTATGGAGACTTGAGCTGCTCTTGCTTGATTAACTTACGTGCGTCCGTCCGCGACGGGCAATCCCGATGGCAAGCACAGCGACCGATGCTCCGAGCAACGTGAAGCCGATAGCCTGCTGGTATTCATCGATGAAGTCATTGACACGGGCGAGCCATGATCCAGTCGATATAGCTACGGGAGAAGTGTCAACACTGTCGTTGTCTGAGCCTGAGGACGGCTTCTTGTTCTTACGCGGAGCCTTGGTTCTCTGCGGACCAAGATCTTCAATGTCACGGCTGCCATCGGGTTTGTTCTTCAGCGCCAATTGGCCACAGGCGCCGTCAATATCTGTGCCGTGGTTCTCGCGGATCGTGGCCTTCAGGTTGTACGGGTCACGCAGCACGGCATGGAATGCACGGATGTCCTCGGGCGACGGCGAGTGGAATTGCGCGCCAACGTCCGTCGTGTTGTACGGGATGAGGTTCACGTGCACCGATCGGTTCTGTAGCAGCTTGCCAAGGATGTGAGCAGTCTCGATCGAGTCGTTCACACCCGCCAGCATGCAGTACTCCACCATCACCAAACGTCCCTCCCTAAAGACAAAAACTCACGTTAGTACAATACAACACACCTCAATTATTAATCCATATCGAACGTACTTCATCGCGAGGTGGTCATCAATAGCTGCCATGAGCTTGTCGAGCGGATACGCCGTGGACGTGGGCACGATCTCACTGCGCATCTCCTGGGTGGGGGCGTGCAGCGACAACGCCAAGCGCACGAGCGGCGCATCGCGCGATAACTGGCGGATGCGGTGGATCACACCAACCGTCGATAGCGTAATGTACTTGGGTGCAAGGCCGAAAACTTTGGTCATGGCACGGATGGCGGCTAACACGGCGTCGTAGTTGTTGAGCGGCTCGCCCATTCCCATGAATACGACGTTACGGATAGGTGCCACACGGTTGGCGTGTGCGAGCTGCTCCAGGATCTCTCCACTGCATAGGTCGGCGATGATGCCGAGTGTGCCCGTGGCGCAGAATGTGCAGCCCATTTGACAGCCCACCTGGGAGCTGACGCAGAGCGTGTTGCGGCCTGTGTGGCGCATGATGACAGCCTCGATCTCGTGTCCGTCCTGTAGTTTTAGCAGAAGCTTCACGGTGCCATCGGCTGAGCGCTGCTCTGTCGTCACGGACGTCGTGAAGTGCGCGAAATGCTCGCCCAGTAGTGCGCGGAGAGTCTTGGGGATTCCGGGGATATCGGCGAACGTGGCGTCCGGATGCTGCGCCAAGTAGCGCCAGATCGTCAGCGCGTGCAGCTCCTTGAAGCCATGCGTCTGCAGGAACTCGGGCAGCGCCTTCTGGTCGAAGGCCGGCAGCGGTGACAGCGTGCGCTTCTTGACCATGGTGCTGGTGGTGACGCTTTGCAGCGATGAAATGAGTGACATACACCAGTCATAGCAAGTTGGTGTGGTGCACACAGACGATGCAGTTTGAGAGCGGTAGAAGCTGATACCGCTTACAATTTGCAACGGTGTCCGGAGAATTGGAAGGACGAAGATTGCAATGAATGTCAGCAGAAGGACGTCGCCTGAAAAAATGTGCAAGCAGTTAAAAAGTTGGAAATCCTTCTTCACGTCAGCCGTTGCCAGCGCCTCTGGTGGTGGTTGGCATGGCAACCACTAGTTGCCATGCGACCCTCCCATCCTTTTCTTCATGAAAGCTGGCGAAAAGATGCGCCTGGTCTTGTGTTCAACGTAGCCATCCTCTGCTCTCCAAGAGCCATTCCTCAATTTTTTTGACGAAATATCTCTAAGATAGTCATTTGCTGAGAAAACTTGCAGCCAAGATTCTTGGGCTCAGCATGCACCTGCGGCGTAGGCTGTGCGAGGACAGTTCGCGTCCGTCCACTCCGCGATACGCGCATACTGCAGGATGGTAAAATCAATTTGTGTTCGTGGAGTTCGGAGTGCCTCAAGCCATCACGAGGCTGATTCAAGGGCTCGTCCGAAATATGACAGTGGAATTTTGCCATCCACAACTGATACTTTAGCGTCGGCGGTTGTTTTTCTGTTACGAACCGAAGGTATCTTCAGTGAAAATGAGCGTTACACGTCCGTTTCGCCTCGCATTTCTACTGAGAGTTCTTCACTGCAATATGTATGCATATCTTGGCTGTGAGACCGTCGCTTGATCTGGTAACTATCGGCATGACCACCAGGCTGCTGCGTCTCGTACCGCTGCCAAGGTATTCGTCTGTGGCGCCAAGCTAAGTGCCATCGCGTCACAGCTGCTGCGAATCATCCGAATAAGACCATGCGGATGTAAGATTGGTCAGCAAATTCATAGCCTCCACTGGCTTGTTCGGCGCTACATGGGCTCTAGCACTTCCTGCAAGCAACTCTAGCTCTACTTCGAAGCAGTTGAGATCCACCATGGCCACCACAAACAACTGCCGCCCTCCACGTTCATCGTCGCAGCTTCGGGCCCTTCAACGACGCGATGCCGTCGCAAAATCTTCTTGCAATACGGCCCGTTTCTGTTCACATACAAAACCCTATATACACCTCTGTGGGCGGAAAAAAACTGCCCTTCTTCCGTCCATCACACAAGGCAAAACACGAGCGAAGGCGCGTGGTTTAACCGGGGCGCCCGGGTGGACAGCTCATTTCCAAGACGCCCACAACCCGCACCCCCGCGCAAAGAACCAGATCGCAACTTATCTCCTAAGGTCCCCGGCTCGGCCGCCATGGACGTGGGCACCAACGTGTGGGTTAAGACCAAGGACGCCGCCGTCTGGGCTGCAGGCGAGGTGGTCGACTACCAGGACGCGAGCGGCATCGTGCAAGTTCGGCGCCTCGACACGGGCGACATCGTGATGCGTGAGTGATCGCGTCTTTTCATTTCCTTTCCAAGGCGGCAAAATGTCCCCTTTCGCTGTAGACCTATCCTAAATGGGTTGGCAAAAAGCAACACCGGCAACTAACACTCAACTTTTGCCATTTGCCAGGTCGCTATCCGGGCTTCGACGACGAGTTGTGTCTGCGCAACATGTCGGCCAACTTCCCGACGATGTCGAGTCTCACGAGTCTCGAACATCTGCACGAGGCGGCGCTACTTCAGGCGCTGAGTGAGCGCTTCGACCACGACCAGATCTACACTTCCATCGGAGACATCCTCGTGGCTCTAAACCCGCTCAAACCGTTGCCAAAACTCTACTCCGAGACGCAACTGAACGCATACAAACATTCCATGACAAACACCAACCCAGCGTCAGTGCAAAAAGAGTTGCCACCTCACGTGTTTGCCATCGGTGGCAAAGCTTTCGGCGGACTATTAAAACCGGAACGACGTAATCAGAGCATCTTGGTCAGCGGAGAGAGCGGCAGTGGCAAAACCGAGAGCACCAAGTTCCTCATGCAATTCCTAACCAGCGTGGGACGTGATCAGTCACGCTCAGAGCAGGAAGGGAGCGACGCAGTGGAAATTGGCAAGAGAATCCTGCAAACGAACCCCATTCTGGAATCTTTTGGCAATGCACAAACCATCCGAAATGACAACTCGAGTCGGTTCGGCAAATTCATCAAAATTCAGTTCGGACACAACAACGAGATTGTCGGGGCCCAGATCGTGAGTTATTTGCTGGAAAAGGTGCGACTGCTGCATCAGAACCCGGAGGAACGCAGTTTCCACATATTTTATGAGCTGCTCGAAGGAGCAGACAAGGAGCTGCTGGACGCTCTGGGGCTGCAGAAAGGAGGCAAATACGAGCTACTCAACTCGTATGGACCCAGTTTTGCTCGGAAACGAGCTGTTGCAGACAAGTATGCGCAGTTGTATGTGGAGACTGTGCGTGCGTTTGAAGATACTGGTGTAGGCGAGCTGGAACGGCTGGCTATTTTCAAGATTTTGGCAGCATTGTTGCACCTAGGAAACGTCAATTTTACAGCGGAAAACGGACAGGAAGATGCGGCGTCTGTCACTGCCGCGTCGAGATTTCACTTGGACAAATGTGCAGAGCTCATGGGTGTAGATGTGGACAAACTGGAGACGCTATTGAGTAGTCGAGAGATCAAGGCTGGTGTGGAGGTTATGGTGCTTAAACACAATCCGGAGCAAGCCAAGGAGATCTGTGGCTCGCTAGCTAAGGCGATCTACGGGCGCCTGTTTACATGGGTCGTTCGGCGTCTAAGTGATGAGATCAATTACTTTGATTCAGCCATCTCCATCTCAGACGAAGACGACGAGTTGGCTACTATCGGAATTCTGGATATCTTCGGCTTTGAGAGCTTGAACCGCAATGGCTTCGAGCAGCTCTGCATCAATTACGCCAACGAAAGACTCCAAGCGCAATTCAACGAGTTCGTCTTTGTTCGAGAACAGCAGGTGTACATTGCAGAAGGGATCGACTGGACGAATATTTCGTACCCGAGCAACGCAGCATGTCTGGCTCTCTTCGATGACAAAAGCAACGGTCTGTTCTCGTTACTGGACCAGGAGTGTCTGATGCCTAAAGGATCGAACCAAGCCTTAAGCACTAAGTTCTATCGTTATCACGGCGGAGAAGACTCGACAGGATCACTCCAACAACAGAGTACTCTGACGTTTATGTCGTCCTTCAGTCGCTACTTGCATCGAGCTGGATCGCAAGAGGAATCCGTACATCAGGACACTAAGAATCACCCTTTTTCGGCTTCTAAGATGGAGCGTGTGAACCACCAGTTCGTGGTCCACCATTTTGCTGGTCGCGTGTGCTACAATGTGGAGCAGTTTGTTGAGAAGAACACTGATGCGCTGCCTGCAGACGCCAGCGACATCCTGTCTTCTTCAAGTAACGACGTTGTGGTGGCGATCGGAGCTGATGAGAACGTAGACTCTCCAACTGCTGACAATGGAACTGCTGGACGGAGACGCTATTCCATGCTGCGTGCTCCTAGTGTGTCGGCGCAGTTCAAGAGTCAGCTAGACCGACTTATCGTTCAGATCGGACACACTGAAGCCCACTATGTTCGTTGTCTGAAGCCCAACGAGGTCAAGAAGCCTGGCATTTTCGATCGCGAGAGGATGGTAGAGCAGATGCGCTCAGTAGGCGTGTTGGAAGCCGTGCGCATCGCACGCCATGGCTACTCTGTACGTCTCGCACATGCGAGTTTTATCGAACTGTTTTCGGGGTTTAAGTGCTTCTTGAGCACACGAGACCGAGCTGCGAAGATGAACAACCACGACTTGGCACAAGCTCTAGTGACCGTGCTGATGGACAAGGTGTTACTAGAGGATGGAGTAGAGCGTGAGGAGAAGAACCCTGGCGCTCTAACTGCAGTTACTGGTGACAGCAGTGGCACAGCGTTCGAGAACGACGTTCGACGTAAGGACGTGCAGGTGGGCAGGACTCTGGTGTTCTGCAAATCTACCACTTACAATCGGTTCTCTCGATATCGTGTGGAGCTACGAAGCCATTGCGCGGCAGTGCTACAGAAATATTACCGTGGATATCGACGCCGAGTGTTGTATCAACAGTTGCGTGGCTTCGTGATTCATGTCCAAGCGATTGTTCGAGGATTCCTGGGACGGAGACGAGTGGACAAACTACGCACACTACGCCGCGAACAGGCTGCAACTTGTATCCAGGCGTGCTGGAGACGCTTTGTGGTGTTACGCAAGTTCACCGAGATGCTTCAGCAAAAGCGCCAGGTTGAAGCTGCCACTGCGATTCAAGCTTGTTTCAGACGTTTTAAGGCACAGCGAATTCTAGAGGAGATGCTGATGGTCAAACGTCAGCTCGCTGGTGTCATTCGTATTCAAGCGAATGTCCGGCGGTGGCTTGCACAGCGACAACTTGCTGGACTTCGCAAGCAGAAGCTTCGAGTTGTTGCTGCTATCTGCATTCAAAGAAATTGTCGTCGTTGGCTGGCGCAGCTGGAACTTGCTCGACTTCGAGAGCAGAAGCTTCAGATCATTGCGATTGTGCGTATCCAAGCACAATGCAGACGTGTGTTAGCTCAAAACCAACGCCAGAAGTTGCTACGCCTGCAGCTGGAAATGTCTACTGCAATCCGAATTCAAAGTCATTGCAGACGTTGGCTGGCTCAGCGAAAGCGAGAGCAGTTGATACAACAGAAACGTGAGCGTGCTGCGGCTATCAGCATTCAAAGACACGGCAGACGATGGCTCCAACAGAACAGAGTTGTTTCAGCTAAGCTCCATCATTTTCGCTTGAACGTGGCGTTCAGCAAGTTCCGTCGCGCATGTCAAGAGTCTCAGGAAGCTCGTGAAATGGAGGCCGAACCGTCTCCAAGCGATGACTCAGCGGGGAGCAGAGCAAAGCGACGTATGTCAAAATCAATTGGCCTACCAGCGACCCAGTCCAGCTCGGAACAGGAAGACAGCTCTACCAGTGATGATCGGATGGAGCCCCCACTTCGTATCTGGGTTCCCACCCACCACCGCTCCAACAACAGACAGCGTAGTCGCGCAAACAGTCGACGTAGCCGTACTAGCAGCAGCCACGTCGACGATCGCAACTCGCTACTGGAGAACGAAATCTTGCGCCTGCAACAAATGCTCGTAGAGCAACAAAGCGGTAGTTCTCGACGGGATCAACAGCGCCGGTCGTCGACTTTTGCCCGTCCACCTCGAAGTGCCCCGCTTGATTTGAGTCAGTCCGCTCGTGTAACGCGCTCACGTTCCGGTCGTCGTCGGTACTCAGTCGACGGCGCTCTATCCGATGATGAAGACGCAGAGAATGACGACGAAGTATCACTGTTGCCTCCGCGTCGTGCACGGAGTGTGATGCCTGCACCACAAGCTGACCACGTGTCCATGTTATCACAGAAGATCGAGGAGCTGGATGCGAAGTGCAAATTCCTGGAGCAGCTCGTGGCGCGCAAGAACTACGAAGACGCAGCAAGGGAGTCCTTTATGTACGGGCGAGGGTCGTTCGGCGGCAGGGAACGCTTCCCCTCAGCCGATGGATCATTGTACGGCGACACCCCACCGAGTGAAGCTGGCTCGGACGTGGACTCGATCATCTTCAATATCCAAAGTCAAATGAACATGCTGCGACAGTCGATCGCAGTGAAGGAGCAGGCCCTCCATACATCTCGCAAGTCTCATGCCATGTCATTCTCGTCCAGCACACGACCGACACGGTCCTCGTCAGCCGCATCGACCACGTCGTTCTCGAACCTGCCCATGGAGGCTCCTCCGAGTCTTCCGTCGCTTCCATTGTCCGAGTCGCAGCTTTCAGCCGGTGGGTCATCGCACGGCAACAGCCGACGCAGTGGTAGCAGTTCGCTTGGACTCCCTCCAACGCCAACATCTTCGGTAGCGTCGTCGTTCTACCAAGGCCCGCCCCGTTCATCTCCTGCACACTTTGGTGGCCGTGGCATGCCTCGTATTGTCAAGTGGGCGCGCTCCACCAACTGCTACGAGTGCGAGGAACCGTTCAACCTGTTCGTACGACGCCATCATTGCCGTATGTGTGGTAACTCGTTCTGCCACGAGCACTCGAGCCGACGTGTCTCGGTCTTTGGTATCGGCTTCGACGACGAACCTGTACGCGTGTGTGACACCTGCTTCGCCGAGTATTACGCAACGTCGCATGAGCCGCAATATCCTCCTCAGTACGGCTTCAGCTCTGGTCCATTGTCCACATCCTCACGACTCAGTGGCTTGTAGTGAACTAACTAGAGGTCTTTGAAGAACTTACAAGTAGAATACCATAATGTAATGTGTAGTTTTTTTTGGTAGTTAGAATTGTTTTAGAATTAAAGATACTTCTTCTGAAAAGTAGTTTGACATTCTTTGTGGCATCAACTCGGCATACATAATCAAATGACCATGAGTACTGAAGCGGACGTCGTTGTTAATGGCGGAGCTTAGTGCTGAAGCTGATAACACGTTGGCCAATATCACGATCTCATGATGTTCATCAATTATTTCTTATGAAGTTGAAACGACTGGAATAAAAAATTTCCATGACATGAAATTGGGATCAGTACTATTCCGGTCTTGAAGAACGCTGCCGCTATGCGTACTTGTATCCCCTCGTCATTCGATTGTGATAAAACAGGTCGTAACTTTTGGCGAACGCCGGATATTCCTTCATGACCCATTCGGGAGTTTTCTTGGACCAGATCCAAGCGTTGTATTGCATGATCCTTCCAACCCAACTATCAGGAAACTTGCTGATCCAGTAGGGCACCTGGTTCGTAGCCAACGCTACATCCATCCTCTCCAACGACGCCAACTTCTTTAAAACTTCCGCCTGATCCTTACGGGGTAATTTATTAAAACCACCCAACAGCTTGTTACTCGCAAGCGAAGGCATGCCTTCCAGCACGCTCCCAACAGATGAAAACTTGGAAGTGAACCCTCTCTCCTCATCTCGTGCAATCTTCGACTCTTTTTTCCGTAGGTAGTTGGCAGGTGTTCCATTCTCCTTAATGGTACTGGATTGCGGTGCAACGACAGAGGTGGTGTCAGTGACTCGCCTCGAGTCCATGGACGTCAAGAGAGCGCTAGTACATGCAGCGAGGGTAGTCGCAACGAGGAGAAAGATGAAGTAGACACGCATGGGCTGTACTTGTGTTAATCTTGAGTCTTGAGAGGAGAAAGCGAATTGTCAAATGGACTTCAGATAGCGTTTGTTGTGTGTGCAGAATGAAAGCCCCATCCAAGATTACAGTCTAAGCCCGGTCGACGTTGATTGCTAGCCTAGACAGATTCCACATACATGCAAAGATGGGAGAGCAATATTCTTAATATTATTATTTTTTTAAATAGTAAAGAATGAATAGAATGCTCCATCTTTGTGGTTGCCGCTGTTTGCTGCGGGCATTTCGACTACGGTATTACTATATAGCTTACAGTGAGATATCATGGACACATACAATATATTCTGCCTATTGATGCATTTTGTTTTGGGTAAGTATGCAATTCTTGTGCCCCCGAAGGTATAACACTCTAGGATAGGGACCGCAACTTAGGCGCAAAAAAAGAACTCTTTAAAGAATGAACGCCATTGCTATTGTGTGGGACTTGGCCCTAAAACGAATAACACATTATTGTGTGGGTGGCTGCAGGTTCCGCGGTCACTTCAATTTGTCATTTGATAACGTTTCAGCTTCCGTAGCACGAATTTGAGATCAATGCTACGTAGAATCTTGATCTTCCAGGACATCATCGGCGTTATGCGTATTTGTATCCCCTCGTCATTCGATTGTGGTAAAACAGGTCATATCCTTTGGCGAACGCCGGGTAATTCTCCTTGACCCAGTCTGGCGACTTTTTGGTAAAGATCCAAACGTTGTATTGGACATTTCTCCAAAACCTACTGTCATGTCTTTTTACGAGCAAAGCAGGCACCTTCTCAGTAGTTAGCAATAGGTCCAGCCTCTCCAAGGACGCAATTTTTTTCGTCAACGCCTTCTTCGTCCGCTCAACCACTTGTACGTTGTCCACCACCTTCTCCAAGGATGAGAATTGAGATGTGGTGACTCTCTCCTCAGTGCTATCATCCTTAGACTCTTTCTTCCGAAGATGGCGCTTGACTGGCAGTCCATTTTCCTTGACGACACTCGTTTGTGGAGCACCCGGCGAACTGATCGTTAAGGCTCGCCTCGAGTCAAAGTTTGTCGACAAAGCACCACAAGGGTGGCGACAAAGAGAAGAACCGCGAAGTAGGCGCGCATACGTTGTGCTTCTTTCTGAAATGGATCGTGCGGGGAGGGGGCAAATTGCCAAGTGAGTTTTAAAGTTGACATAGCCCCGCTGATGACACTGGCTGTGATCTGTCGTTAAGTAAGAGCCTGCTTGCTACCCGTGCCTATTCACTGCTAAGAGAAGAGACGCCAACAATAAAAAACGTACTGGGAATAGCACAAGTTTACGACACGACACTGTTTAATACAGATTCCGCCCTCTAATCCGTCCCTCCAGTCCGGCCATAACCTCTATCGGATTTATATTATGCATTTTTGGAGGTCGTTTGAATTTCAATCAGGCGGGAAACGCACTTTTGAATCCCTGCGCGGCTAACAAACATGGGGCGCTGGCTGACCATCAAAGATAAGCGTGCTCTCATAGCGAAAGCGGGTGAGAATCCTGGAATGACGCACGCCGAACTTGCTGAGTGGTCGACCAAAACGTACAATCTTGGTCGACCATTAGCTAGAAGTACTGTGAGCGACAT